CGCGGGGATTCCTTCTCTTAGTTCATTTTCTCTTGGCAGAGTAAATGAAGTCAGTGACATCAATTAGAGAGTATCGTAGTGCACAGGGTACTTACTAGTAGTTTTTCCTGACTTGGGTGGTCCAATAATAGCAATACGTATGGGGACAACAGGTTTGGGWGAAGGCTGTTTAAGGTAGGTAGCAGGGCACTGCATAAACTTCTCTCTCGATTCCTCGTTACAGCAAAAGTAGACGTGCTGTCTGTAGACAACAGGACATGGATAGTACAAGGACCCGTACTGTGGCTGGATTACTTCTCCTTCCAGTAACTAGAGCAAATAGCAAGTAAACAATTCAGAGGTGGATCCAGGATTTGTTCAAGGGGGGGGTTGTAGCATTGATTGAGGTATTTGTTTGGCGGGAAAGTAGCACAGGGTTCCCAAACGGAAGTAGGTCTTATCATAATGATTATTTGCTGCAGGCGAGCATGGTCGTTTCAGGTCCCACACACGTCGTATAGAAAAAAAAAAGCGAGCGAAATGTGTTCGGCAACCCTGTTTTAATAAAACTCGCGATGCTGTTGGTGTGGTCATGAAAAAAAAAAATCATAAATCACGATGGCTCTCATAGGGGGGGTTGCAACCCCCAAAACCCACCCCTAGATCCGCCACTGCAATTAATGATCAATTGTCATAAATAACTGCGATGAATCTCACATTCTGATTCACTTTATGAAAGCACACAGCATGCGCGCGCACTTTCTAATCTTATTAATSTTATCCAAAAGAACAGCTATTCTAGTTTGTATTTCATACAAGAAATAAAAAATGTTTGTTTCTGGGTGTCCACAGTAGTAGGGTRTCCGTATTAAGCAGGTTGATTTAAGAGTAAACGTGGTGAGTGGTGTTCAAATGTACATAAATCACTCACCTTTACAGGACACCAGCGGCCAAATCTACTAGGAAATTTATAGCCACTTGAGAGCATTTTGTTGGCTAGTAAAAAATCTATGGCAAAACAACGATCGAACAGGCATTCTCTGAAGTCCACGACTGGTCGAATGGCTTTGTCGATGCAATACCGAACGATGCGTGGCTTGCGACCACCGTTGATTTCCATACGAGGAATGAGTAGCTCTTCAAATGTTTCCTGGTAAAAGTAGCAGGTGAAAATAGTCAGTCACTAATAAGGATTAGGTACTCTCCCCCTTCACCAATTTTACTAAGGTGAGGTCGTATTGTGTCCCTGCTGACAGAATATATATTGAATATTTTTGACATTTCCAATTATTTATTTCTTATAAGTTATATCTATACATTCATATAATTTTATTTTTATTTATAGTTATACAATTTATATCTATTATTCTAAGTTTTAACACGGCTCTTAGGAAGGGCATTTTGTATGATGAGACATCCGTGTTTAAATAAAGATTATGTATGTATGTATGTATGTATGATTAGATGGAGATCAAATAGGGGTATTAAATTCATAAAAAGTATGTATATCAAATGTATATAAAATTGTTATGTGCCTTTAAATAACATGTTCTCCCCCAATTAATACTGGCTACAGTGATGTCGGCTACAGTGCTAAGGATATTGTCTTTGTAATATCAACGGAATGAGATGAGTATGGATGGATAAATGAAGGGAAGAATTGGGATGGTTCAATGTAGATGGATAAAAAAAGGGATTGGATGGACGAGATAAGACGGATGAATGTAGATGGGTATTGTATTTGARTTTAGAGTAGTGGGAATGGATGGAAAAAGATGATGGATGGATAAAATGGATGGCATAGCATATGAATGATGGATTGGATGAATTCATAATTAAGGAAGGGATGAATAGATTATTGGAATGGATCTAAAAAAAATTATATATATCTACAAAGCTTTCGCTGTTGTATCATAGCGTGGGACAATCACAACAGAGCTAGGCTCCAAACTAGGTGAAAGCCCAAAGATCGAATTAGAATTTAGAAGTTGATTTTTAAGGAGGGAGGAAAACCGGAGAACCCGGAGAAAAACCCTCGAAGCACAGGAGAGAACCAACAAACAACTCTACTCACATACGACATCGAGATCGACCAGACTCGAACTCGGGCCGCATTGGTGAGAGGCGGCGCATTAGCGATGAGATGGATGAATGTAGATGGATACTGTATTTAAGTTTAGAGCATAATGGAATGGATGGATAGAGATGGTTTATGGCATAGCATAAATGGATGAATTGGATGAATTAATTAATCAAGGGAGAGATTGGTTAGGGAAACGATAGCCATGACCTTTTACCTGCACATTAGCAAGTCTTCCCACTTCCTCATCAAACCGATCTCCTATTTCAGTTTTCATTCGTTCTATYGCATCCTCTTCTGTTTCCTCGTCTTCATCTTCCTCCTCTTCTTCCTCCTCGAACTCAGCGTCAAGCAAGGCTTCTATATCTACTTCTTCTTCCTCTTCGTCTAGTTCTTCATCGCTGTCGTCGCTCTCACGAGCCTGTCTTCGTGCCTAACATCCAAACATTACATCAGGACCCGGTCGTATGAAGGTTGAATAGCGCTATCCGGCGAATAAATCTTGTCCAGTGGATAAGTTTATCGGATATAAGCATCTACTGGRTAAGGATTTATCCGTTSGATAGTGCTATCAACCCTTCGTACAACTGGGTCCAGTACAAGATATTTAAAGGTATGCGCAAATTTCCCGTG